CCCATGAGAAAGTATGCCATTAAGGTGTAGGATAGTTTTATTAGTTAGAATTCTATTATTAACTGCTATGCACATTTACTTGTCCCAGTCGTGTTTGAGAACTTGAGTTTGTGTTTTTGTTTAATTTTTATATGTGAACTTGGGATCATCAACCAAGATGCAGAGCTTTTTTGACTCAATGGTGTTTCCTCTATTTCTCTTGAAATCCAAAGTGGATTTTGGTTCCTCTTTGATGACTATTTAAGGTTTCTTCCTTGCATATGAGAATCTACTTTTCATTCCCCATACCATGCTCATCTCTTAGATCTGTGTAAAGGGAAGCTGGAGGACAATTCCATTTTGTATTTTTTTTTCAATGTTTTGCATTTTTCACTTGCTCAGGGATAAGGGCTCAAATCCCTCGATGTTTACATGCTGTTGGGCCCCAAGAAGCCATTAATAGCTCTTGGAGTCTGCCTGATTGTTATTTCAGTCTGGGCTCTTTCGGCCCACCAAACAGGGCAATTTGCATTGTTTTTGATATTTTTCAACAAGTGTTTTGGAGCATATGACTTCTCACAAAAAAAGAAAATGTATTAGGAAATGTATTGAATATTTTTTTCTTATAAATTCCAACCTTTTGGACTTATTTAATTTGCACGACTTGCATGCAGAATCTCATTATTATTTTAAACAAATGGTCAAATTCTGAATGTGCACACCTCAATTTCTCTCATCTTTTGGTCTATGTATATGATAAACAGCTAAAACTCTGAATTTTTGCCGCCTTGTTGAACAATTTGTTTGTTGCTTTGTTGAACATCGTTGTCAAACACAGTTAACATAGACAAAGTAGTTGGCCTTAAGAAAAAGGCAATGGGATGGACTTTGACATCCTACCATGGTGTAAGGATGACAAAGTCTATAAAAATGAAAAATCCATAACAGACTATGGATTCAGACAAGTGTAGAAGTCCTACTGGACAATCCATGATCATGGATGAACATGGCTAGTTTTCAGTTCGCAATTCTAGAATGAGAATTAGGAAATATTCCTGGAACTAGGCTGTGGTATCAGTCTTGATTTGAGAAACTTCCTGGCCATTTTCATAGAAATTCACTATTTGGACCTTTTTTAATTCCTTAATTCTTATTCAATTATATTTTCAGAAAAAAAAAAAACTCTAAAAGGTCTGCAGTTTAGACCACCACCATATGTTCCTTAATTCTTATTCAACCAACTGGTTATTGTTTGACTCTATCAGCTCCAAAAAAAAAAAAAGATTCAAATAAGCTTTTTAGTTTATGAAGATGTAAGCTGTATTCTGCTTTTTAGTTTATGAAGATGTAACCTGTGTTTTGCTACATGTGTTGGCAAAACATTTACACATATCAGCGCACCAGACCCAGAGATTCTTACTTGACCAATGACCAGGATCTGCAAAGTCTAAAAATACTAAACAATTAAATAATTCATCTATGAAGGGAAAAGAGTGAAATCAACATCAGAAAGCACCAGAAGTTTCTAGGAAAACAAACATTACTTACAGTAAAAGTCGACTGATTCTAAATTGGGTCTTGAGCTGTTAGGGGAGACGCTATTCTGCTATGTTTTTCCTTGTTGCTTCTTGAAAGACTTACCTATTTTCTTCACCACAATCAAAGGAGGGAAACACTTTGAAGTCATCAGAAGATTCTGAAACAATGTATTTAGTTATAGCACTAGAATTCAGTTTCTGAGAAAAAGACTGGTTGTAATAGTCTCCCTCATCTTGACTGCCGTTATAAACTGAGAAAAAGTCACATGGTACTAAATTCTTTGCAGACTATTGAAGCTCCAGGGCTGGCGCTATATATCATATTATAAATTTATGATCCCATACAACACTGCAAAGTCATTCTTCTGTTTATATCAAATTCCAGCAAACCAACTGAACAGAGTGGACAAAACAAGGTGGAATTAAGATGTAAATAGATTCTTCCTTTGAGTCGGTCAACTGTTCTTTTGGTCTAAAAATGCTACTGTTGCTATACCCACCATTCTACTTCCCTCAGATGGAAATTTGGACTGCCTTCGTTTATGTTTATATAAACCCCCCAAAACAGAAGCATCAAACCAAGGACAACTACCCCTGAGTTTCTTCTTAACTGCACAATGGTATTGCCAGCGACTCCAGAGAAGAAGAAAAACATGGGAAGAAAAGGAATTTCAGCTCTCTTCTTCCCATCCTCAAAAACCCTTAATTCTTCCCCTTCATTTCCTAGCACCCACATTTCTTCTTCCCCAAGTCACACATTTTCTGAATCAATTATGGAAGAAAACGTTGAAAATGCAGAATCTATCATCACCAAATGGGATCCTGACTCTTCTTCAAACACCAAATTCAGTTATCTTTTTCAGCAGGACAGAAGAGAAGCCACGGATTTCCTCAAGAGTGTAAAAGATCTCCACCGAGCCATGCATTTTTTAGTCTCGGAAAATTCTACTTCTGACAAGCTTGTTCTCGCACAAAAACTTATGCAAATGGCGATCAAGAGGCTTGAAAAGGAGTTCTATCAGATTTTGTCAGCTAACCGGGATCAACTTCACCCGGAATCAGTTTCCGGTGGAAGTAAATCAAGCAATCCAGATGATGGAGAGGATGCTAAGTTAGAAAAGGCAGGCCAGTCCATCACTGAAGTTGAAAGATCCTCTGCACTCGCAATGGCTGACCTAAAGGCCATAGCTGAGTGCATGATCGGTTCTGGTTATGGAAACGAGTGTGTAAAGATTTACAAATTGATCAGAAAATCCATAGTCGATGAAGGATTGCATCTTCTTCGAATCAAACGGCTCAGGTCTTCTCAAGTTCACAAGATGAACTGGGAAGTACTTGAGCAAATGATCAAGAACTGGCTGAATGTGGTGAAAATCGCTGTGAAAACCCTCTTCGCTGGAGAAAAAGTTCTCTGCAATCATGTGTTTCCGGTGTCCAAGACAATCAGGGAGTCCTGCTTCGCAGAGATAACAAGAGAAGGAGCATTGAATTTGTTCATGTTCCCTGAACTCGTCTCCAAGTACAAGAAATCACCTGAGAGAATTTTCCGGTTCATGGAGCTCCACGGAGCACTCTCCAAACTCTGGCCGGAGACTGAATCAATATTTGATTTTGAATCAACCTCACGGATTAAATTGCAAGCTCTTACATCCCTCCGCAAACTGAGTCACTCGGTTTGTATCATCCTGTCCGACTTTCAATCATCAATCCAGAAGGACTCATCAAGAACTCTGGTAACCGGAGGTGGAATTCACCCTTTGACAGAATCCTCCATGAGTTACTTATCTTCCCTAGCAGAATACAGTGAGACTCTATCTGACATTGTTGCTGAATGCCCATTTCCGGGGAATTCTTCACCATTTCCAGAATCTTACACCATTGATAGGTCAAAACCGGCAGCATCGGTTCATCTTGCTTGGCTGATTCTAGTTCTTCTATGCAAGCTTGACCGGAAAGCAGGGCTATACAAAGATGTGGCTCTGGCCTATCTCTTCCTAACAAACAATCTTCAGTTCATTGTCGAAAAGGTTCGAACAAGTCCCCTGAAGGAACTCCTAGGAGAGGAATGGGTGTGCAGACATACCAAGAAGGTTAAACTGTACGCTTTGAGCTATGAATTGCAGGCCTGGAACAAGGTCTTAACATCTTTACCTGGGGAAAGTTCTTCAGCAATGTCACCAGAGGAACTAAAGGACTGTTTCCGGAGGTTTAATGCCACTTTTGAAGAAGCATACCAGAAACAGACAACCTGGATTGTCCCGAATAGGAAGCTAAGGGATGAATTGAAGGTGTCCATAGCAAGGAAACTTGTACCGATGTACAAAGAATTCTATGAAGCACATTTAGGGGATTTGGTTGGGGAGAAGAATTTGGAGGTGTTGGTTAGGATTGGACCTGATGACTTGGGAAATTACTTGTCTGATCTGTTTCATGGAACTCCTTTTTCAAGCAGTTTTTCTTCATCCTCTTCGTTTAATTCATAAGGATGTATGTTGATGCCCCGGTAAAGACAGTATTCAATAACAATGAATCAAGATAGTCAATGTTTTGTAAAGTGCAGAAACCAGAATAGAAAGAGAGCTCTGTTCTTACTCTGTTTTCAGTGGTAGGGGTTTTCTTAATGTTGATGTTTTACTTACAAGTGTGAAGAATAAAGATCTCATATCGAATAAATATGAAAGAAAAGAGTAGCTTAAATATGCCAAGACCTGTACAATTATAGGGTTAGTTTTTTGTTTGTCCATATGGTGTCTTCCCAACACTTGATGGTAGTTTTCAAGACGGCCAACATTGGGATGAAATGAACAAATCTCATAGTTTAATTCAATGTTACAAAGTCATGCTTAGAAATGTTTCACAATTTATTTTTTTGGATGAAATGTAAATCTGAATTTATCAAATAAAATTTGAAATACAACAACTGCAGCCAGAATAGCTGCTACAAGGTGTAAAACTCTTAGTTAACTACCTGTCTAAAAGAGACTATTTTACAAATTTGTCAAGCCGCCAGTGTGATGCTATGTGCCTAGGCAAGGGAGAAGAATGAGGGTTAACAAAGCCAAGAACCTTGTCCCGTACATCTCTTAAAATATCAGTGATGATCACAGCTTCTGATTTGAATAACTGCCGATGAATCTTCCAGTTTCTTTCCATCCATACATGGTACACTGCTCCATTCCATGCAAGCTTGATCAGGGTTCTGTGTAATGATTTCTTGCCTATTTTATTTCCCATCCAAGCTAATAAGTTGGAGTAGGAATCAAAGAAAGGGATACCAGCCATAAAGGATAAACTTTGCCAAATCTGCTTGTTGAATGAACATTTGAAAAACAGATGTTCAGAGGCCTCGGATGTTATTCCACATAGAGGGCAGGTGTCAATTATAGCTTTTGTCCATTGCTTCTGCCTTGCCTTAGTGGTTAACCTATCTAGTATAGTTTGGGGTCAAGGCCAGAGTTCTAAACCTTTATGATGCCAAATAACCAATCCTCTAATGTAAAATTAAAAAAAAAAAAAAGGAGCATGATTGTTTCTCCGTTCAAAAGTAGTCTCCTTTAGATCTTATTAATCCAGATGCAGCCTCTTTGTCAATATCAAGCTGCTTGTATATATATAAATTCTGAGAAACTTTAATAGCACATTTTTTAAGTTTGTACCGAGTATGGCTGGATTCCCAGCTATGTTAGTATCTTGTTCCCTGGTGACGCAGGACCAACTTGCAGCACCATGTATGAAACACAAGAAGAAATATTGACAGAAACATTTTCAGGCAGAGCTACCTATCCTTAGATCTCATAGTCATGTTACACTATAATAAAGTTAAGAGAAAGGAAATGTCTACATCTGTGACAAAGGAAATCAACTTTCTAACCTACTCTAGATGCAAGTTTTGCCAGTGTCATTGAATCAAAATGGATCTAAATCAGAGGCGCATAATTGAATAGGCATTAGGCACTAGGCACTAGGTCCCCTCTCTGCATCATGTTGTCGGGGAAATGCATACGGCTAAATTCTTGCTTGGCCCTTAATTTTGTTAAACAGGCACGACTGGAAAAAGAAACTTCCCCCATGAAATTGAAAACAACCAAGTTACTGTAATTGTCTCTTTTTCAGCAAAAGAATGGTTACCTTCTCTGCCTAATATTCAGAAGTTTCTTGTTTCTAGCTTCGTATATGTTGCACTGGGAACATATCTGATAAGAAGACAAAAATAGAATTACCAACTGATTCCATAACTCAGAAATAATGATGGAAATGTAAAAGCTAAAGATGCCTTCTTTTTACCTCAGCTCCTACACTAATACAAAACAATACAAACTATTAGTCTTAATGCCCTGCCCCAAGTAAAATCAATAAAACTACAATTAGTTTTTTTTTTTTTAAATTCTTTTGCCATAAAGGAATAATAAACCACTTCTGTTCTTTGATCCTTACCAGTGAATTTTTAATTAATATTTTCGTACAACTTTTTATTTTTGTATATATCTTCGGCTACAAATGAATTTTCGTCTTTTATGATAACACTTAATCTGAAAGATGATTAAAATTTATTGGTAGAAAAATAGAAGTAAGACTTTATTATCTGTATGGAGACAAATGAGAATTTTTAATAACCATTTAATGTGATAAAGAACTTTGAAATTTTAAAATCATTTGGGCCTAGGCTATGAACACGAGTTGTAGTTTAGATACATCCATGAGTCACGTTCAAATCCATGGACAGATAATCAGCTCAATGTTTTTATGACATTAAATTTCGGTGCAAAATGTTTTCAACGCTTTTATAGCCTATTAATTACTGCAATAGATGCACCTAAATTTTTAGGTCTAATAATATTAATTATATTGAATAGATACATTCTTTTTGGACAAATTTAATTTCACCCGACCTCAAATTATTCAAAAAAAAATTATTGCGATAGGTAAATGTCGATTTCACTAACGTGCTATAGGAAAAGTCAAATTAAGAATAAGAAGTCATCATTGTTCATGTAATTTAACCTTCAAGTTATGGTGTCCATTCAAAGAAGTTCAAATTTGAAACTACTTCCGGTATCATGTTAACTATCCTTTACTTTACAAAAGCTTAATGCGTTGGTATGAGGGTACTTGCATTAGAATTGACGAATCATGAAATGAAAATCAATCTTGTTTATTTATTAATTTAGCTCTTATCAAGCTTTTGATTTCTTTTTTGTAATTTTTAACATATTCGATGATGAAAAACAATTCTTTTATCTATTATCTAACTTACGAGAAAGAGATTAGCACAAGTCAATTCAATCCTTAAGAATTTAACTAAAGCCTTGTTTTTGGTCAAATGCCCATTCACTGGGATCAAACTATCAAGGATCGGACTATTGGAGCATCAGTAGCTTCGAAGGCCTTCAACATCACTATTCACTCTTGCGTTGATAGATTTTTAGCTTGAGAAGATGCAAATAAAAAAGAAATCATGGATTCGTTCAAGTGGAACAGCAAGAATGCAGGTACAAACATGTGGCATTTAAGAAACCCAACGTGACTTGCAATTGTATGAAAATAATAAGAGAAGAGAAAGCAAAGACGCAACTGGGAGACTTAAATGACAAATGCCAATCAAATCTCCCCACCAATCACCATCTTGCATTTAGTTCTTCTTCATCAATTTCCTAGTCAATTGTATTGATACTATTAACATGTGAATACAATAATTGACAATCGATTTTTCAGATCATATTCACACTATTCATATTTACTCATACTATTCACATTTATTATAAATATTATATACTTTAAAATATTTTTTTTATAAATACCTATATATAAGTCATTATACATACAATATTATTCGAAAAAACAATAAATTTTTTTTCAAATATTTCTTCTTCTTTTTCTTTTTTTTCTATTTTAAACAAATACAAATCTATAATTTTGTCCAATTTCACAAGACTTGGCTCAATAATTAGGTATTAAGGTTTAATATCTTTAACCATTGTTGATATGTGACATGTGATATGAGCATCACTCTAAATCCCCACTTTACCTGTCCTGCCAAGTTCACTTGTCTATTTCACAACACACTCACAAAAAAACCCGAAGAACGTCCAAATTTCCTCCAATTGGTGTCAAATGAAATGAATATACAAAGTCTATCTGTCTATAGATGGGCTTTGTCCTCCCAATTAATGTTGATGGTGGTATTAACCTACTAACTACTAAGTGGTCTGGAAGGTTGGACTTTTATATGGGATCGAGTGATCCATGACGTTGAGCAAGAACAATAATTGCATGCCATCTTCTATGGTTGGGGGACAAGAGTAAGGTCTAAAATGAATGCTCAAGGTTCAATGCTGTAATATAAATAAGCATTTACAACTTCCTAGTTTAGTACCAGTAAGTTCTCTCTCCTATCTCAAAATGGAGCTTTCCATGACAATATTTCTTCTGTTTCTTTTCTGCATTGTGTCTTACCTCCGTAAGATATTTCTTCAGAGAAGAGACCAATCCTGTTACATGTTGGCATATGAGTGTTACAAGCCTGGGGAGGACAGGAAGCTTGATACTGACACCTGTGCCAAACTCATTATGAGGAACAGGAACCTGGGTCTTCCAGAGTACAGGTTTCTCTTAAGAACTATGGCCAATTCAGGAATTGGTGAAGAAACTTATGGCCCCAAAAATGTTATTGCTGGCAGAGAAGCATCCCCCAACCTTGCAGATGCACTTTCAGAGGTCGATGACATAATGTTCGACACACTCGACAAGCTCTTTGCCAAAACAGGAGTTTCTCCATCAGAAATAGACATGCTCATTGTCAATGTCTCCTTGTTCTCTCCAGCCTCCTCTTTAACAGCTCGAATTATAAACAAATACAAGATGAGGGACAATATCAAGGCTGTCAATCTCGCTGGAGAGGGTTGCAGTGCAAGTATGGTGGCCATTGACTTGGTGCATCAGATGTTCAAGACCAACAACAATGCATATGCTATTGTTGTGAGCACAGAATCAATAGGTCCAAATTGGTACAATGGCAAAGAAAAATCCATGATGCTATCCAACTTGCTGTTTCGCTCAGGAGGATGTTCCACTCTCTTGACAAATAAACCAGCCCTGAAGGATCAAGCCATAATGAAGCTGAAATGTTCAGTAAGAACCCACATAGGTTCTGATGATGAAGCATATGGATGCTGCATACAGGTTGAAGATAATAAAGGCTATCCGGGTTTTCTCCTCACCAAAAAACTGCCAAAGTCTGGTGCTAAAGCTTTTATCCTCAACCTCCAAGTTCTGCTACCCAAAGTGTTACCACTTAGAGAACTCATCCCGAGTGTTGCAAAAGCGTATCTTTCAAAAAACAAGACAAAAAACTCAACTCTTGAAGCAATAGCTGCTGATCTGAATCTGAAGTCCGGTATTGAGCACTTCTGTATTCATCCTGGTGGAAAGGCAGTCATTGATGAGCTTGGGAAGAGCTTAGGACTCAGTGAGTATGACATCGAGCCATCTAAAATGACACTTCACAGGTTTGGCAACACATCCTCTGGCGGCCTATGGTATACTTTGGGTTACATGGAGGCCAAGAAGAGGCTAAAGAAAGGGGACAGGATATTTATGATAAGCCTTGGGGCAGGTTTCATGTGTAATAACTGTGTGTGGGAGGTGACAAGAGATTTGGACGACCCCAATGTGTGGAAAGACTGCATGGACAAATACCCTGTAAAGTCAACTGTCAACCCTTTCATGGAGAAGTATGACTGGATCAATGATGACAACATTGATCTAAACTCTATTGATATGGTATGGCTACAAAACAAGCTTGGATTCCAGATTGATGATCCGGAAGCCATAGAGAGAATAAGGAATACTCCTTGAAAGAAGGATAACAACCATTAAACCGACTTCCCTGATTTTCTACCTTTCCATTATATGTTGTTTTCATGATTCATATGATATGCAATTTCCTAATTTTCCATGATTTGAGTAGAAGATGTCGTTGTTTGGATATGATTTGAGTATCACTAGAGTGGTTGATTTAGGTGAATTACGGTAATTAGTAAGAAATATGGTTATGGATGTGGTAATTCTAAGTCTCCAAAAAGAAAACAGAAAATTAGGCTCAAAATGGCATCAAATAGGCTCAAAATGGCATCAAATTTGTTATACTGAAAGATAATTTTTTGTGGATGAAAACATTCATGAAATGAAGCATGAAAATTCTACGATTTATATAAAGGAATGCAAACGGAGATGCCCAGATGGAGTGAAGTTTGGAA